GCTCCCAACTCAAAAAGGTTGCCTACCCCTGCTTCAATATAATAATTAGACCCTCAGTACAGTGAGGATACCTTTTCTGTTGGGCATCATTGGAAAAAGAGAGAAAGAGAGGGAATGAGATCTGTCTGTTAGAGTAATCCTGGGCAGATCTGAGTTCAAGATCTGGGGACAGTGTTAGTAAAGGTAAAGGTATTCCCTGCTGACAAGGTTGTCAAGTCGTGTCTGACCATAGTGGGCGGTGCTCTTCTCCATTACTTACTTAGACCACTCTGTGATCATGTGGCCAGCATGATTGCACAGAATGCTGTTTACTTTCCCACTATTTATCTACTAGCATTTGCATGCTTTCAAACTGCTAGGTTGGCAGAAGCTGGAACTGGTAACAGGAGCTCACTCCATCATATGCAGCACCTGGGCCTCGAACTGCCAACCTACCAATTTTGCAGTCAACAGAATCAGTTTCATAACCACTTGAGCCACCACAACCCTTACAGTATTACATGAGTCTTTTAAACTGCAATTAAAGTTAGAGAATAGTGTCTTTGAGAATACTTATTGTTTCTGTCTCATCGCTGCTGTGAAGTGTTGTTAGAACATCTCTTTTCACTGAGATGAAAAACCCATCAATCAGCTCCCAATCACACTGCTTTTCCATTACTCTATAGGTGCAAAACATTCCTTCCAATATTGGCAGTCATGTGGTGTCAGTGTCGCCTCCTCTCCTGCTGTCCCTCTCCTCCTCACTATTCCTAAACAGGCAGTTTCCCCCTTTTCCCCATATTTTTTCCTTTTCTTTTTTAAAAAATTAAATTGCATTAGCATAATTCCAAAATTACATTAAAGATAAAAAGAAGGAATGCGGAAGAGAGTGTGAGGGACCATCAATGGCCAAACTAGCACCTTCATGCTATTACAGAAGTGCACAATAATTTAATGCTCCCAAACTGTTATGTTTCCACTTTCTTTTACTGATGTGGTTGCAGTGAGACTGAGGCTTATGTGATAATGTCCCCAGTCATGAAGCTCACATTGTTTATGTATGCTAGCTTCAGCTCCTTGGAAGAAGAGCCAAAGCTAAGAATAAAATAAATAAATTGCAGTCAGAGTAGATAGTATTCAGCTAAATTAACAAATGGAAGGACCGGAGGCAATGGAGCGAGGAACTTAGCTTGAAAAAGAAACAACGTGATGAGCAAGTTAAAACAGTTGAAAGGTTGTCATGTAGATAATTGAGTAAATTTGATGGGGTTTTCTCTTTCTCTGAAGCCAGTGATTCCCACACTTTGGTTCTCCAAGTGTTTTGGACTTCAGCTCCCAGAGGTCTTAGCCACCTTGGTGAACAACCAGGAATTCTGGGAGCTGAAGTCCAAAACACCTGGAGGACCAACATTTGGGACTACTGCCTGAAGCATAAGACTCATAGTAATGTGTTCAAATTGAAGAGAAAGGATTTAGAATGATGATTAGAAAGGAACTCCTGATAGTATGAGCTCTTCAGCCATGATACTTATTGCCTTGGTAGAGTGTAGGCTAGGAACCAGTGTAGTGTAGTGGTTTGAGCATTAGACTATGATTCTGGAGACCAGGGTTCGAATCCCAGCTCATCCATGAAACTCACTAAGGGGGGTTGCAGACTGCCAGAAATAGTGCAAATTGAGTCCACTTTTAGGGTTAGGGTTAGTGCTAGGGAATCATGGGAATTGTTGTTGTTTTTTCCTGAGACATTGAGCCTTCTCTGTCAGAGAGCTCTGGTGCTACAATAAAATACAGTTCCCATGATTCCCTAACCCTAACCCTTAAAGTGGACTCAATTTGCACTATTTCTGGCAGTCTGCAAAGGCCCTAAGTGACCTTGGGTAAATCATACTTTCTCAGATTCAGAAGATAGCAGTGGAAACCCCCCCTCTGAAAAAACATTACCAAGAAAAGCTCATGACAGGTTGCATCAATCAGAAATGATTTGAACGCACAAGATGGTAAGCTTTTCTATGTTAGTTTTTAAGTAGAAACTGGACCTATCAGCACCACCTATTAGTGATGCTATAGTAGTATACTTGCTGTTTTGCCGAGGTTTAAACTACCTGACTGTTGGCACCCTTTCCAAGTCTGTGAGCGTATGATCTAATTTAATTAATGCTGATCATTGACCATATCAATAAAGATAGATTGGCTTCATAGAAAGCAGCACCATACGTTCAGACAATTACCTATAAGAAGACTACAATAGCAAGAATGCACACTGTTACATCATGACTAAAAGATCAGCTTTGGGCATTGCCTGAAAAGAATTGAACATTCATTACATTGAAAAGTACTGACACTCTTGACCGTAATTATTTGGACTCTAGCATTCCACATGTCTTACATTCTGTGACAAAGCTTATTTGTCGCCAGTGCCGTTAAAACCTTTCTTTTGTTTTCCAACCAGCTTTGTTCAGTGGCAGCTTTTGCAGACAGAAGTCCAAGGACTTCCCAGAGGCCTTGAGTTATGAGGCCAGCTCTGGTGCCATAAACATCCACTCAATATGTGTGCAAGCCTCCGATTGGCTATCCTTGGAAAATGATCAAGGCATGTTCAAGAGGGACAGGAAATAGTGACTCCACAGAGCACCATAAAAACCATGCAGAGGTTTAGTACTACAAGTGGAGAGCATCAGGAGGGGCTCTTTTATTTCTTATTTTTATTTTTATTTTTTACCAGCAGCCCTCTTGTCTAATTACTGTCTGCAGTAAAATAATTTGCTTTATTGCTTGCATCCAGGGCAGGAAGAATTTTCTGGAGAGTGCTGGAAGGGAACTGTATATTAGAGAGGATATACTTTGCTGAACGCTTCGTATAGATTACCTGACGTTAGTCGATTTGCATTAAAATGGTGTTTGTTCCTAAGTGGCTTCTCCTTTAGCTTAGGTTTACCATCATTCTTCCCTTTTAATGACTTGCATCCGGGCCTCCTCCTTCATGGAACCACCCTAATGGGAAGTTTATTGGGGGAGAGGGGATGGCTGTTTTACTTTTAGTATTAACCAGAGCTAAGTTGAAGATGGACTGATTTTTATGGATCTTTTGAAATGTCTTCCACCACCACCCACCCGGAATAAGTATCTGGTGATTATTTAGCAGGGACTCCAAGGGGCATTAAAATGCTTGCCAGGAAGAGACAGGGTTGCATCCCTTCTACCAAGCCAACCTAGTATTTTTGCAACATGGGCTGCATCCACACTGTAGAAATAATCCAGGCTGGCACCACTTTAACTGCCATGACTCATTGCTATGAAATTCTGGGAACTGTAGTTTTGTAAGACCTTTAGTCTTCTTTGGCAGAGAGCTCTGGTGACACAACAAACTACAATTCTCAGAATTGTATTGAGCCATGGCACTTGAAGTGGCTTCATCCTGGATTATTTCTAAACTGTGGATGCAGCCTTGGTTTCTTTGGCAACTAGAGCCAAGAAAATTCAATTTTCCCCCAAAGTTCTTGCTACACAGCTAGATCTGACTGGATATCTGGCCCTGTTCTGTATGTGATTCCCAAGTGACTAGGATATCCCAAGGAACAACCAAGTTCAACACACCCACACCCCAAACACAAATGTATGGGAGAAATTCAGAAACCATTATGAATGACAGTGAAATGCAGGGAGAAGATAATGTTTAGGGAATTGGAGACAGGAATCACATTCTCCTCATTGGAAAACTGCAAATTTGGTTCATGTTTAGATTAAGGGCCTCGGCAGATGACTAATGAAGTTGTCTCCGAGGCAGGGAAGAGGAGGAGCAGCAGCACGATCGGCGCCCCTTCCTCCTCCCGTCCACACACACTGTGGCGGAAAAGTCAGGGAAAGTGCACCCTACGCGTTTAGGGTGCACTTTCCCTGACTTCTGAAAGGAGCGCCAATTTAGCGCTCCTTTCAGGGACGCCGCCGGTGTGCCGTGGTGCGGATGCCGCGGTCCCGCGGCGCACCGTCCCAGGGTGTCCTGGACGCCCTGGTCTGCTTCCCCCCTAAATTGAAAGAAATCCACAGAAAGCAAGAAATTATGATTGTACATATAGTATGGGCATGTGATTAAAATCTAGGTGTTAATCATAATGAATAAGGATTGCTTGCTTTGCAGCCTACAAGCTGAGCAAAACCAAATGTTGAATATTTTCCCGAATTGTACCAGTCACAAACTGTGGGATCATTTTAGTATGTCCAAATGAGAAAAAGCCCCCACTGTGCGTGTAACAACTTTCTGTCTGCAGGTAGCATCTTGTTCATGGTGCACACATGAGTATGAGCACATCATCAGCAATGCTAAGGTTACTTGCTGGCAGCAAGCAGCCATTTGAATATCTCATGATGCTCTGAAGCAACCATTGTGTAACTCTGTGTCTATATGTGTAAGCCTTTAAGATACCTGTTCACTTATGATGATCCTCATGATGATGATGATGATGGAGGCCATGTGTATTCCTGCATGGCAGGGTGCTGGGTGGAACTGATGGTCCTGGTGGTCTTTTCCAACTCTATTATTCTTTTATTTTATTCATTTATATGCTGCCTTTCTCCCAAAATTGGGACTCGTGAGGGCTTACAATTTCATAAATGATACAACTAAAATATACAAAATCATAAATATTAAAGTAGGATTTAACTATCAAAATACAATTCCAGAGAAACTGAAATGGCAACTTTCACCTAGCACTGATGGAGGGCCCAGTACATGCATCAGGAGTGGACACCTGTGGGATACTCACTAATGCTCAAATACCCCTCCATGCTGTAACACTGGCCAGCAAATTGGGAAAAAAGTTCAGGGGGGGGGGGGAAGTGTTACTTTTAATTCAACAGAATACATCAACCGAGCCTTCATTTTCTTCCTAATCTCATTCTTTCAGACATTCTGGAAACATACTCTGTTCCCTCTTGGATAACCTGGACATGTGTTCCACAGGCAGGTCTACGGTGTGTGTGTGTGTGTTTGTGTGTGTGTGTTTCCCTCTAATATGTAAATTTGTTCTTGGAAAATCGTCAACTAATTTGACTCTGTTTGGGTTGACACGGTCCTGCTTGCCAACAGTTGCATTTGCATAGTAATTTGCCTCCCTTCCGTTCATGGAGAAATGGATGCAAATGATTTATCATTTGCCTGATACCTAACTTGAATGTAGAAGAGGAAATTGCTGCAGTGTCACAGGCAGAACACACAAAACCTCTCCAAATGAGTTCACTGCTAATCTAATCACATTGGCCATAAAGCACCTGATCTTTTATAGACCTTTTCCACTCCAGCTCCCAACTCTCAAGTTGCTTAGATAGGTTTTCCTCCATACAGACCAGTTCTATGCTCTAGAAGGAAATGGTGGCTTGTACATCATTTTTCAGTATCCCCACCCCTGCCCTTGAAAGGGCTGTTTTCCTTCATCTCATGACTGCTTTTCTTTTTAAACTGTGCTTTTTTACTTTGGGACAGCCTAGGAGTAGACCTCAGAAGAAGTGGTAGAACCATGTACAATGGGCTAAGGCTGCCTTAGATTCTTTGCAAGGAGAAAAGTGGGATATAAATTAAATAATATAATATAATAATATTTATTTATTTGTATCCCACCTCTCCCTGTTTTTAATTTTAACAGCAAAAATTAAAACAATTACAGAAATAAAACAAGAAAATAATCCCCGAACCCCCACCCTGATATAAAATTACAACAATAAAATCCCTCTAACTAAAAAACAATTAAAAACAGTTAATAACAGTGGCAATGTCATGAGGAGTTAGATCAAATGGGCAGTTAGTTCAGATCAGGATAGAGCTCAGTATGGGAAGGCCCGCCGGAAGAGAAATGTTTTTATCGGGGGGGGGGGGTTAAAAAAAATAAAGATCTAAATAAATTATATACCATTACACTGGTTTACACCACTGACAGTGAACCAAATTTAACAGATTCTTTCAGGACTGCTTGTCTGGACTATGAAATACCCTTGTACAGTGTCTTAAACAGCACAACTGCTTGCCTAGTGGTTAAACCATTGTGCCCTGGCATCAGTCGCTGATGACATCCCCTCCCTTTGGACTCCAACTGCCATTGCTCTGACCTCTGAGGGAGAGATAAGAAGTTAGACACAGGTCCATCATGCCTTGGTTAGTGAAACACCTTGCCTCCATTCCAACTGCCACTGCCATGGCCTCTGAGGGAAGAAGAGCATCCAGACTCAGCTCCACATTGCCTTGGTCCTGAGGCTAGTGAGAGGCCATCCTTTCATGTTCCAAGTGCCATTACACTAGCCTTAGAGGGAGAGAAGAGCAGCCAACATCTGATTAACTTAATCACCTACACCCATGTCATCCTATTTTCCTTGTTGTTCTTGTTTTTTTCCTGTCTCATTTTGATTGATTTCCTGACTCATTTTCCTTTTGCCTGAGGTTACTTAGATGAGTAAGATTTTGTCTCCGGAGCTTATCACTTGGCTTAATCTGTTTTAACTCTCCCAGTTTAAATTTCAATTTGGGCTGCATCCTGATCTGATCTGTGTAGCATCCTGAAGGTTTTTGCTGCTGAATTTGCCACCCAAATACATCCTGGGTGCATCCTCGCTTCCAGCAGCACTCTAGTGGCCATTTTCAAGCC